CAGAGATATTAATACTTGATCCCAACCCCTTTTTTGATTTTTTTTTTTCAGCGCCATTTATTTTTTAGGCTCATTGCAGGACACAATTAGCTTTAACTTATGAAATACTTGTTTAATAGTGGTCAAAATTTTTATCTAACTATTTTTTAGGGTGAGGAACTTAAAAATGATGGCTAAAACACACAAAAACTCAAGCTTCTATATAAAAATTCAATTTTAAAATGGTGTAACACTTTTTGTAAGTTTTTTGATGCCCTGTACAAAAAAATGTTTATCTCAAGATGCCTAAAAGATAAAATTCTGAAATTTTTTTCTAATGTTCTATATGTATCAAACTCCATAATACAAAAAATCTGGAAGGGTTTTCTTTTTTAAATTAGATTTATTTGCATTTAAAGTTTTATTTAAAAAATTAAGAAAAACTGTTATTTAATAATGAAAAAAACAATTTGCATAAATTTTTTGCATTTTTTAAAAAGATTTTTAGAATCTTGCTGTGTAAGGTACAGTTCTAATATATAAACTTGTTTGCATTTCACATAAAAGATCTTTATTTTATGCAATCATTATGTTTTTTGTTATGGATTTTCTATTTTTAAATCTTTAAACAATAATTATTTTAAAATTGTTTCTTACAGATCTAAAAAATATTATAACAATATGAATGATAAAGAATTCAATTGGAATAATAAATAAAGAAATTTGTAACAAACAAACATATGTAAAATCTCATGATATCAAGAAAGTTTCAAGTCTTAATGATGTGGAAAAAAACTTGATAATTAGTCGTTCTGGCATTCAATTTGATGAAAATGCAACGGTTTGCCTACACCATGAATATGTTTATTTAAAACATTACTCTACAATCCACATAACTTGCTGTGATCCATTTAATTCACACAATGGAAAAAGAAGAAAAGGTATTATTACTTAACCATGAAACTTTTTTAAAACTTTATTGTAATTATTTATAAATGATATATATTTTTGCAAAATACTCACTGAAGCAGTAATTATCACTCATGTTTTTAAAAGGATGTAAAGAAATTAATATGCAACTTGCTGGGAAATTAAAAAATATTGGTATTAATGCTATTTCTGGAGAAAAGATATGTCCCTCGTGTATGATTAAATTAATATCATTTAAGGATGATGAGCAAAGAGAACCAACTTGTAGCCAGATTTATGAAGATGAAGATAATGAACTTAATATAAATGAATTGTTAAAAAAAAATCTTAATTCTTCTTTGATGACTATGAACAAGTCCTCTCAAAATGCATGCTGTAAATAGTCACTCAAGAGTTGCTCTTGGCAAAAAAAAATTGTTACATATTCAAAAAACAATTAGTTAAACATTGCAAGGACTTTAAATATAGATCCTGAACAGTTAAGTAAAGAAGATTCCTTCAATAAATTATCTAAGGGAGTTAAAGGTAAAGCAAATGACATGGATATACTTATTAGAAAAATCAAAGAAAAAATGTTAATTTCCAATTGTAATCAGTAAATTCAACTACTAACACTGTTTCCAATTTCTTGGTCTCACAAAGATATAGAAAAAGAACTTAATGTTACTAATTATATGGTGCAGATATCACGCAAATTGCTGCAGAAAAATGGTATTTTATCTTTTCCTGAAAAAAAAAAAGGAAAGGAAATACCTCAAGAAATAGATAAAATTATTGAATTTTATTGTAATGATGAAAATAGCAGGCTAATGTCTGGTAAAAAAGATTTTGTTAGTATAGCTCGAAGATCTCATATGCAAAAGCATTTGATTCTTTCAAATCTAAAAGAGCTATATGCAAAGTTTAAAACCTGTATATAAATATATATAAATATATGACTTAATTTAAAACTTCTTTAATAAAAATATATAATTTTATTCTGATAAAAATATATAAAAATTAATTTTGATTTTAAAAATATATTTAAGTTTATTAAAATTAAAGTTAATGCTTGGGTTTAACTGTCAAACCTATTTAAAAATATTACTAAATATTGTTATATAGATATAAAGATGTTACTAAATACTGTATATAGATATAAAGAGCTGTTTTTCTAACTTTTGCTCACATCGTCCAAAATGGTGCATTACAGTTGGAGCATCTGGTACGCATACAGTATGTGTGTGCACCTACCATCAAAATGTTAAGTTAATGATTAGTGCAGTTAAATTATCAAAGGATTATCAGGAGCTTATTGATATGCTTGTTTGTAGTAGGGTAAACAAGACTTGCATGATACATCATTGCCCTTTGTGCCCAGAAGATTCTACATTGGTACATTATCTTTTAAATGAGTTGTACTCTCAAGACGATATTGATGAAGATAATGATTATTGTATAGATTACGAACAATGGAAAACAACAGACCGATCTGAACTATTAAGTTTAACAGAAACGACAAGTAGCTTTATTAATACTTTGAAAAATATAATTTACAAAAACTTACTGTTCATTCTTACATTGCAAAAAGTCAAGCTGTTTCTTTAAGAAAGTTAAAAAATGAGTTAAGTAGTACTGAGGTCATTGTCCTTTGTGATTTCTCAGAAAATTACGAGTTTGTTGTACAAGACAAAATACAAAGTTTTCATTGGAACAAAATTCAAGCCACATTGCATCCAACAGTAATTTATTATAAAGAAAATAATGTCCTCAAATGTGATTCAATATGTTTCATCTCAGATGATTTACTGCATGATGTTGATATGGTTTATCATGTGCTGAAGCTAACAATTGAACATATTAAAAGCAATATTCCTCATCAAATAGAAAGTGTCTATTACTTTTCAGATGGGTGTGCTGGCCAGTACAAGAACTGCAAACACTTCGTAAATATATACCACCATGAACAAGGTTTTGCTATGAAATGTACTTGGTCTTTCTTTGCAACAAGTCACGGTATATCACCCTGTGATGGTATTAGTGGGACTGTAAAAAGACTGACAAATCATATTCTTACAGCGTCTGCAATGTTTAATTTTTGCCAAAATGAAATCATAGGAATTAATTTTTATTACAAATCCAAGGAGTCAAACACGATAATTCGAAGTGAAATGGAGAAAAGATATACAACTGCAAAAACATTACCAGCCACTCGTAGCTATCACAATTTTGTTCCAATAAGTAACACAAAAATTGGAACTAAAATTGTTTCTGAACAATTGGAGTATTCATTTGTTTTTAATTTTCAAACTGATGAGATTATTAAAGAATTCTTGTCTAATATAAGTATTGGTGTGTTTCTATGTTTGATATATGATAACAATCCATGGATCGGACTAGTTGAGGAACTTGATGTTGAAAATAAAGACTTTCAAGTTAGTTTCATGCATCCATGTTACCCTTCAAGGTCATATTGTTGGCCTCCTAGAGATGATGTTTGCTGGGTTCCATCAACAAACTTATTGCTAATGATTAATATTCCAACAACTGTTACAGGAAGACAATACAAAATCAGTGAAATTGATCACCAGAGTATTGAAGATAGCTGGGCATACTTTAAACCAGAGAACTAATTTGTTATCTGTCAAAGATTTTTAATTCTTATTTTTTTTTAATGTTAAAGATTGTTAATTCTTATTACCTTTTAGTTTTAATTTTTCTTATTGTAATTTAATTATTTCCATGGTTTTAGTGTGATTTTAATATTTTTTTGATTTATTATTGTAAGACTTTAAATGCAAATAAATTTGATTTAAAAAAGAAAACCCTTCCAGATTTTTTGTATTATGGAGTTTGCTACATATAGAACATTAGGAAAAAATTTCAGAATCATATCATTTAGGCATCTTGAGATAAACTTTTTTTGTACGGGGCATCAAAAATCTTACAAAAAGTGTTACACCATTTTGAAATTAAATATTTATATAGAAGCTTAAATTTTTTAACATTTTAGTCATGATTTTCGAGTTCCTCACCCTAAAAAGTAGTTAGGTAGAAATTTTCATCACTATTGAACAAGTATTTCATAAGTTAAAGCTAATTGTGTGGTGCAATAAGCTTAAAAAATAAATGGCACTGAAAAAAAAAGTCAAAAAAGAGATTGGGACTGAGTATCAGTATCTCTGAAACCGTAAGAAGTCTGATACTATAATTTGGAGTTAAGTTTTCTTAAATTAATTTAAGCTTTTACTCCAAAAATCAGCAAAATCCAAGATGGTATGGTGCCGAAAATTATTTTTTTTAGTTGATTTGACACGGAATGACCCCTTGGTGATGTTATAAAATCTTGAAGTTAAAGACACTATAATATCATAAGGATTTTAACATCTTACAAATATAAAAAAATTTTGTAATATCTTTACTGTCAGTAAAGTAGTTATATTTAAAGTCAAAATACAAAAACAACATAAATCAATCCTAATAATATAAAAATAAAGTCAATGTCAAAGTAAAAAAAACATTATCGTTTCATTTGTTTACATTTTTAAATGCGTTTTTAAATCAAGTGAAAAAAAAACTTTTAAGTGTGAAAAAAAATATTCTTAAAAAACTTAGACTATAAAGAGTATTGAACTATAATTTTGATTAGATTATAGTTCAATACTCTTTTTTATTATTCATTTAATTTTTCTAAGAAGATAAAAGAGTTTTCAAAAAAAAAAAGTAAGATATATATACATGATACATGCAAAAAATCATTTTCTAGTTTGACGAATATTAACTTTATAACAATAATAGTATGGTCTACTTTATATACAATGATAATTCAAAGACATTTTAATCACGCAGAAGTTATAAATCAAGCCTGAAATTAACAGGGACCGATTTATGTCCCTGTAAGCAACCGGTCCCCGCAATCAACACTTTTTTTGCTAAAAAAGTCCCCGCAAGAAAGCATTAGATTATATTAATTTTTGATAGTGTTTCTTTAATAATAGTGTTTCATTAATAAGCAACTGATAGACAATTTTTAAATGAGAGAAATATAAAAAAAAATTCAGAATTTTTTTTTTTTTTTATCATGCACAATAAATAATCAAATAGAAACATACTTTTATCTTTAAACCTTGTTTTGTCAAATAACCTTCTTTTGAATTTATCTAAAAGATGTAAAACATAATTTATATTAACTTTTACCAACCTGTATTTTTACAGGTCTCAGCGGTAATAAATAAGCACGAGAGCAGAAAAATACTCTCCTAAAACGAACTTGGGGAGCTGTGCAAGCTGCTCCTCATATAAATTGGCGCTCTTTTTTAATTTAAATTTTTTTTTTTTTTTTGCAACAACCAGGCGTTGTAAAAAGCATTGCAGTATATTATGCAATTAATTTTTTTTTAATGATATTGTTTTTTATTTTAGTTATAAAAAACAATAATTATACTTTCGTAAGAAAAATGATACTTTTGCGAGAGCCATAAATTGCTCCCGTAAACAGTTTTAGGAGAGTATGGGCTTTAGCTTCCCGCCGAGGCCTGTTTTTATATATAGAAATTTTTAAATAAAATTTTTTTTTTATATTTTTATAATTTGAAATAAACATTAAATCTAAATAAACAAAAAAAATTTTGAAAAAATTTAATGTTTTAGGGTAAATCTAGAATGTTCTGTATACAGAACATATAATTGTTCCAGTTGCACAAGGTGTATTCAAATTTTTTCCATATATGGAACTTCTAGCATTAAAGATATATTTGGATATATATGGAACTTCTGACAATAAAGATACGATTTTATTTTAATTTTTGTTTTTATTTAACGTATATAACACAAGGAAGATGTGTGATTTCAAGTCACGCTCGATGAGCACGCTCAATGAGCACGATCCTGATAAAATTATATTTGATGACTATTCATGAATGAATACGGAAGCACAGTATTTATTTCCGGATGAAATAAAACAATATTTATCGGATATTGAACCTTTTGAGGACTTATCCCTTCTTCATCTTAACATAAGAAGCGCTAAAGCAAATTTGTTTTGATTGAAATAGTTAATGATAAGACCAAAAATATTTTAGTAACTTGTTGTTACAAACCCCCAAATGCGTCCACAGAAAATTTCTCAAATCATCTCCAGAATATTATTCAAAAAGTTTCTCTAGAAAAAAAAAACTGTTTGTCTTAGGTGACTTCAATATTAACGCCCTAAATTATGACAATGATATAGCAAGTCAAAACTTTTACAATGATTTATTTCGATATGGTATGATCCCTTTAATAAACAGACCAACATGAATAACAAGAAATTCAGCAACATTAATAGACAATATATTAACTAATTTTTTATTTGAAAACTCGTTAAAAAAAGTAATAGTTACTTAATGCCAATTTTCATATCCGCAAATACGTCAAATAAACAAATACAAAAACAAAATATCATTAAACAATCAATTAGCGTTTCAAAATGAACTAGGAAATATAGACTGGTCTCCATTAGAATCATTCAATGATGCTAATTCCATGTTTAATAACTTCCATCACAATTTTTTAAACTTGTATGAAAAACACTTCCCAGAGAAAGAAGTAACAATTAAAATTAAAAACTTAAATTCGCCATGGTTTAGTAAAGGTTTAAAAAAAGCTTCGAAGCGAAAACATCGATTGTATGATAGATATCTAAAAAATAAGTGCATAAAGACCAAGGCAGAATATAAAAACAACAGGACTTCATTTGAGAAAATCAAACTATTATAAAAAGCAACTTGAAAAGTGTCAATTAAATTCTAGGAAAACTAGGCAAGTACTAAATGAAACAATTGGAAAACCGAAAATCAATAAATCTTTCTTTCCAAAAATCTTACATATTAAAAATAAAACTATTGCCAATGAAAACAATATAGCAAATGAATTTAACAATTTTTTTGTGAATATAGGACCTAAACTTGCGGCAAAAATTCCAAATGTAAATAAATCATTTAAGGAATACCTTCATTACAATAAAAATAAATTTAAAAATGAGAGTTTAACATTTAAAGAATACAAAACAGCTTTTAAAAGTTTGAAACGTAATAAATCTTCTGGAATTGATGGTATAAACAGCAACATTGTTATTGACTGTTATAATGAGCTAAAAGTGCCTTTATTTAAAATTTGTAAACTTTCTCTGAATGAGGGTATCTTTCCTGATATACTTGAAAACCTATATATAAATCAGGCAATAAAACGGATATTGGAAACTATAGACCAATATCTATACTTTCTATTTTTTCTAAGATTTTTGAGCGAATTATGTTCAATAGGTTATATGCATTTTTTAATAATAATAAATAATGACTTATTCTATTCAAAACAGTTTGGATTCCAGAAAAGCACTTCAACTGAACATGCAATACTTCACTTAATTAATGAAATAAAAAACTCTTTTGCAAACGGAGAATTTACTTTAGGCGTGTTTGTTGACCTCTCCAAGGCCTTTGACACAGTGGATCATAAAATAATGATAAAAAAGCTTATGATGTACGGCATAAGAGGCGTATCCAGCAGGTGGATAGCAGATTACCTGAAAACACAGAAATTAGTAGCCTATATTTGCAGCAAAATATCAAAAAGTATTGGCGTTCAGTCACAGGATTTACTTAATAAGCATCATCTAAAACAAATCTATTTCAGTTTTTTACAAAGTTACTTGAATTACGCGAATATTGCGTGGTATAGAACATCTAAAAGCAAGCTGGAAACACTCTATCGAAAACAAAAACATGTCTCATGTACAAAAGTAAATTTCAACAATGCCCCTCAATTTTTAATGATCTTTATGAAATAAAACCTAACATTAAATATACTTTACGCACTTCAGGTTTAATTGAACCATTGTGTAAAACTAAAAAATAACAATTTAAAATTACGTATCGTGCTCCGCATATCTGGAATAAAATCTTAGCAAAATATAGTAATTTACCAGGTGTAAACAATATAAATTGCTTTCAAAAACAAATAAAAAATATTTCAAAGTATACAAATCTTATTAATGATTTCTTTTAAACTGCTTTGTTTTTTTGTTTGTTTTTTTGTTTTTGTCTTTTTACATTGAAAAGTTTTTGGTTTTAACACTATTTACCTTAGTTAATTAAGTTTTGCTTTTAACACTATTATAGGAATTTAATATTGTAAAAACATAATTATTACAACAGTTCTCGATGATAAGACTTAATGGTCTTCTGCAAGTTTCCCGCGTTTTTATTTATTTTTGTATAACTAACTCTTATTATTTTGTCTTGATTTTTTATATTTATAACTGGTTTATTTTTGAAAGAATAAGAGTATCTGGTATTATATTACGGAATTTAATTGTAACAAAAAGGGAAAATTAAAAAAAAAAAAAATTTAATTTTGACAATTTAACCACAATTTTTAATAATTACAGATAATTACGTTGAAAATAAATAATGCCCACACGTTCATGTTTACTACATTTTTGTATTAGCAAAATGCTTTTAAAAAAAGTAAATAATTATGTTACCTATAGTATTACCGAAAGTTGTATAAAGTTTATTTATACTATTTAATTATATAAAAAATTTTTATAAGTAAAATAATAAAAAAAAGTAAAAATTACAAAAACAAATTAAATTTTTATAAGCGGAAACTTTAAACATTGATGGTCGCTTTAAAAAACTTTATATAAGAATCATTAAAGTTAATTCAGTCGAAAAGTAGAAAGATGTTGTGGAGAAGAAAAAAACAAACTTTTTTAAAAGCTGTTTGAATTAAATAATGATCATTGTTTTAAATTATTGAAACACATTTAAATAGTACAAGTAAAAAATTGCTGCTGATTTTATATAAAACTATTTGTGAATAATATATATATTTATATTTATGTAAGTATGTATTTTTTTACTATAAATGTCTTTAAATAAAAAAAAATTATATCAACTTTTTTAATAAAGGATTAATTATTTTTTCTTTTGTTTACATTACTGCGAAAAAGTGTTTAAAATCTTTTTTTAACTTTTAAATTGTGTGCATTTATTCAACAATCACTAGATGTAAGTTGCTACTTTATTTAAAAAGGGTTTTGCATAATATTATATTATAAAAACAGTTCAAAGTTTTATTCTAAACAATCGTTATTATTTATTTTAGTTAAGCTTTAATTTTATTTTTTTACTTTATTTTTAGTTAAGTTATTTTTATTTTATCTTTTGTTATTTTTTTACGAAGATTTATTTGCTTCAGGATAATTTTTTTATAAGTTTCTTTTTGGTTAAGATGTATATAAATTTTTAAAACATATTAGCAGCTGTAGTCAAGTTTTAAAATCAAATAGTATTTGCGTGGTCATATTATGACATGAAATAAGGTAACTTTAAAGTTGTAATATGTTTTTAATCAAAATATTTCAAAACTCACTTTAATATAATTATTGTAGGGGAGGTCAGGGGAATGGTGGCCCCTAACGGTTTTTTGCCATTTTTTGGGTTGTATTATAATGGTCCGACCTGTAACTATGGTAAAAAGAATTACTGTAATGTATATTTTAATGTACTTTATTGGCAAACGCGTACAAAAAATAATTAACATTTTATTACAAGAAAAAATTAAACAAAATGCCCAATATTACCCCATAAATTTGGGGCAATTGTGGCAGCCTGGTCATCATTACCCCAATTCTTTTGTCGAATACGAAGAATGAAAACAAGAATAATAATTATTAAAAATAAGTTTTATAAGAGTTTAAGAGAATAAGTTTATGAGTTTAAGAATTAATAAAAACAAGTAGTACAATATTACTATTAAATACAATAATCACAAATATAAATATCGTTTTTATGGAGGAGATCTGTTCAATCTTTGTGGGCCCAGTCACCACATGCAGCACAGGTCACCCACCATTCTCGGCTTTTACCTAATTCCCCACAAACCAAACAAATATCTGAAAACTTTTCTATTTTCTAGCCATTTTATACGGCCATAATTGCCCCGTATAAAATGTCCCATCATAACCCCAAAATGAATTTATTTTTATTAACAAAAATAAAAACAATTTTCTAAATAAGATACTTACATTATATATATTTAAAAACTAGAATAATTATATTTTTTGTTATTGGTGTTATTTAGTCAACGCCTTTAACATTTATATACTTAATAGCAC